TATATATATATGTATACAATATATATATATATATATATGTATACATATATATATATATGTGTCTGTGTGTATGTATATATATATATATATATATAGAGAGAGAGAGAGAGAGCGTTTCTGCTGGGGGAGGTGTAAGACATGGGCAATACGTTTGAGTCTTTCAGCTCGGGCTGGGGAGGTTTGGTAGGTATGAAACAGAGACCTTTGTTTAAGCCGGAAAGGTGTTTTTTGAGTCCCTTTAGGGTTTAGTGTTTATATAGGGTCTGTCTGGGCTGTTTTTAAGTCCCTTTAGGGTTTAGGGTTGAGGGTCTGTTTGGGCTCGGGCGTTGGGCTACGGAGGTAGGGGCATGCCAAGGTTCTGTCCCTAGCGGCTCACACTCGAGTTTTCCAAGGCAAAATGAGTCGTCATCAACGGAACCCGCACAGGGAACCTATAGATCCAAATCCTTGAAGCCCTCCAAACCCCAAACCTTAAACCCTAAGCCCTAAAACCCTAAAGCCCTAAACCCCAAACCCTAAACCCAAAAAAAACCCTAAGACTAAGACCCGCTACACTCCTCGCCTCTGGGAAGCCCACCCTAAACCTCCGGGGAAAGCCCTCAACTCGAAACAGTGCGAGTTCTGTCCAGCTGATCGATCATCATACGGAAAGGCCCTAGAACTGGCGACCCAGATAGCAGTGTCTCGTATTTTTTCGGCCAGCATGAAACTGATATGACGAGCCTCAACGTAACTTTAGCAAACCATCGAAGGTGACATGGACAAAGATGCTAAAGCTTCTGGCTGAAGGATGAGAAACGCGGGGCTGTCAATCCCAAGATGCATGGCCTGCAAATAGAAGCTCCCTACACAGAGGAAACATAGTTTCCAACTATCTTGGGGCCAGGCCTCCCCCCCCCCCCTCTGGGTTTAGGTTTAGGTTTCAGGGCTTAGGGATGTCTAGGGTTTAGGGTGGCTACTGTGCCCACCTTAAACCCTTCGAGCCTGACTGTTCAACCCACAATATACCGTCTTGCGATTTCTTGCGTGTCTTTGTATTTTCTAGACAATTTGTTTTGCAAGTGACCCGATATCGAAAGTAGTAGTTAATGCTGTTTAGCCCTATGCTTCCAAAGACCGTACAGTCAGGGCCCGAGACCCTTTAAGGACCCAATAATAAGGTCCCTGGAAGCATAAGGTACGATAATTCTTTGGTAGCCTTGACCAGGTCAGGGAGAGAAGCCGTGGGAGCAACTGCGAGCAGCGCTGCCCGACAGTGAGGTCGCCCTGCTTGGTGCGCTGTCCGTCTTGCGTTGGGTTTAGGGTTTAGGGTGAAGGGGCTTAGGGTTCAGGGTTTAGGCGTGAGGTCTAGGGTGCAGGTTTTAGGGCGCGCCCAAAGACTCCAAAACCCCTGACTAGCATTACACCTGAAGTTATAGAGGGATGCTTGATATGATCTTGACTAGGATATAGTAAATTTCTTGGTTGAAGCTCAAAGTTTCGGGCATAGAGGGCAGCAGCACTCTCAGCTCAAGGCCCCCCGAGTCGCTGAACCCAAGGGTCACCTACTGCACTAACCCCGCATTCCTCCCTGAATGCCTAAAGCAGCTCTCAAAAATTAGCAAAGATTTAGGCGTTTTGTTTAATTCCAGAGTACCCTATGCTTCCAGGGACCTCATTATGCGATCTTTAAAGGGGTCAAGGCCCCTAACGGTGGGTAGGGCACACGAAGGGCCTAAGGGTCCGGAAGAATAGCTGCCTTGGCGAACCCCGACTCTAGGGCTTGCGGTGAGGGGCTTAGGGTTCAGGAGTTTGGAACCCTAAACCCCAAACTCAAACCCTAAACCCTAAACCCTAAACCCTAAACCCTAAACCCTAAACCCTAAACCCTAAACCCAAACCCTAAACCCTAGTGTTGTTGACGACCGCAAAAGCCTTCAGGATGACAAGACTGCCCTTTCCGCTCTCGCGTGGATGCCTCTTTCCATCTCAAGGATTCTGTAGTACCCTAAGCCCTATAGACCCTAAACCCTATACCCTAAACCCTATAGACCCTAAACCCCATAGACCCTAAACCCTATAGACCCTAAACCCTATAGACCCTAAACCCTATACGATAAGCCCTAAACCCTATAGCCTATGCCCTAAACCCTAAACCGTTGGATCTTTCCAGCTCACACCCCGGAGTTTGGGTTCTAGCTGGGTGTTTGCAGGAGCCAGGGTTTTGGGTTAAGTCGTGAATTGGGCAGCCAGGGTTGACAGGAGAACTCGCGTTCTGCGCGTCAATGGCAGGGACGATTGATGCCGATGTGGTTCATGGGTTCATCACCCTGGGTGATTTGGAAGGCTTGCGAGCATTCGCACCACTCAACTTTGACTGGTCCCAGCCTCTAGGCGAAGACCAAGTGCCTGCACTCATGCGCTTTGTTGACTCTCATGCCTTGTGTGAGTCAGCTGCTCAACAAAGTGATAATCTCAAGATGGTGGAGTGGCTCCTGTCGGTCGGAGCTGATCCGCAACAGAGGGTCAGGGACGATTTCGGAATGGCATTCACGTTTGGAAAACGGAGCAACCCGGAAGAAACGGAGATCCGTGTTAAATGTCGTGGGCAATCAGCCATTTCACTGGCTTTTGCTTGGCTTCGGGAAATGAAGAAGTGCAAGGGTAATGCAAACTGGACAAAACCGGAGCAATACCTGAAGCAACTCATTTCTCTTTTTTCGCGCTCATCCTCCCAGCAGAGTCTCCGGAGTACAGATGTTGCCGTGCCTCAGAGTATCGTGGACTTGTGGGAGTGCATGCGGGACTTGGCCGCCTCGCACAACGTGATCTTCGAGAGTTCAGACGGAGAGGTGGCGGCGAATGAGCACATCCTCGCCGTTGCTTCTCCGGTCTTGAAGGCGATGCTTGAGTCTGCAATGACGGAGGGCACGAGCAGGCGCATTCAAGTCAAGGATTCCCCGTCCTCCGGCATCTCGCTGTTCCTGGATGTTCTCTACACAAGCTCGACTCGCGAAGACCCCGACCATAAGACCCTTCTTGCTGCTTTGGACTTGGCGCACCGCTGGCAGGTGCACAGCGTCGTGCAGATCTTATGCACCGCACTGCATAGCATGATCGATGCCAGCAGCTTCGTGGCCATCGCAGAAGCTGCAGCTCTCAAGGGACTGGAGACACTGGTGCGAGCATGTGCCTCCTTCGGCTCCACAGATGAGCACGTGCAAGCGATGCTTCAGAAAGGCGATCTCCCCGTGGCGGTTCGGAAGCTGTTGGGGAAGCCGGAGCATCAAAGCAGTGAGCAGCAAGATACGAAGAAGCGGCGGAGATTCCGGTCTTCATGAGCAAAAGCTCTTTCCTCGAGCATCATGTTGCTTTCTAGAACTCTAGTCTTCCTGGCTGACAGCGCAACACAACTTCGGACTGCACTTGTCAGTCATACTTCCATATCATGAAGAAGTTAAAAAGGAGACTTCTTTACCATACGTGGTGGTCTGTGGTGTCACGATGTTGCAGCTGAAATGCCAGAAATGCCGATTCCTCGAGCCGCAGACTTGAACCCCTAATGCAGGACTACCCCGTCCCCAAAACCCTGTAGACCTAAGTTGAAATCATCCCTCCCTAAATCCCAAACCCTAAGCGCTATACAAACCCCATTCTGAGATTGTGCCGAAACTTCTACTGTAGGCTCTGCTCGGCGTTGGTTTCTCGGCATTGTCGTTGCGGAGTGTTGAGTTTAGGGTTTTCAGGGCCTCGGGATTCCTCTACACAGGTTTCAGGATTTAGGGTCTAGGGCCTTACGTGTGTGTAGGGCTCCAGGCTTCGGTGATTGAGACCATGCATCAGGATGCCGGACCGAGGGATCCTTGGATGCGGGTTTGGGAGTGTAGGAGGATTCGGCCATGAACTGTTGCCTGGTGGTCTTTGAGGTCGGTTCGTTCTTGGGGTGTCTGAGTGGGAGCTTCAGAGTTTGGCCCCCAACAGGCAGATCCCCGGATGAACAAGCCCACCCTCCTTTCTTCAGGCCGATTATAGGGAGCATCAACAGACTAGGTCTACAGTCCCAAGTGTATTTCTGGTAACTCATCATAAGATCCCCAAGTTACTGTATTCATTGAAGCCCAGAAATTTTAGATCCACTTAGATTACATATTATAGTCGGATCCGGGACCCTCGCCGCTGATCGAAATAGCTCATTTTAAGAGGATCTGTTCGTTAAGGCTCCTGTTTTGTTTGTGGTTTGGCGTAGCGTGGCTGAGCTCGGTGCGGATCTTGCCAGGCCTAGGGTTTGGCTGCAGGTTGATTGATATTGGGGCCGAGGATGTTGATGGGTTTGGCATTTGTGTACTATTGGAGATGTGGGACTTTAGAGGTTCTACAGTAGCGTTTGCAAGATTTCAATTCAAGAGCTGGGTGTTAGCGTCTACCAACAGAACTGACACTCCAAAGCACGCTTCTCTGGCTGCATATCCCAATTGCCGAAGCTGTAAAGCCCCCAAGGAGTACATTCCAATTTTTAATTGGAACCTCAGCGTCCGTCAGGGCCTCGTACCCTTTGGCCAAAGCATCTCCTTGGGCAGTTTGCCTGACGCCAAGAGAGGCTGTAAGGGCGTAGGAGTTATTATTACAGGGCCCTTAAGGAGTTTCGGGTCCTAACTAGAAGGTCCTTGGAAGGGAGTAATATAAAGGTCGCAGCTTGTAGGGTTTACGTAGGGCGTTCTATTGGCTCTGCAGCCTGATTTTATGTGAGAAGGGGGTAGCTGGAGCTTGATCGATGGTTCCGCGCTGGGTATGTTTAGTTTAGTGTTTGAAAACTATGCGGGAGGTCACTGGCAGCGATTGGTTGACCTTAAACTCAAACACGAAGAAGAGCCCGATACCCAAGTTAAAGCATGTTAAAGCCAAAGCGAAGACCCTAAAACCCCAACAATTAAAGCGTAAATTACGCCCCCCCGCCCCCCCAAACTCCAAGACGGCAACATAACCGAGACCCATGAGGGAACCAAAGCTCTAAATCACGAATCTGTGGAAGCATTTGGCGCTCACCGTCTAACTGAGCTCTTGTTAATTAATGTAGTTTAAGTTGTTATTGTAAGGAAACCATACTAGTTACGAAAAGATCCCTATTTTCGTAGTTTAAATCAATTCCCTTAACAAGAACCCAGATAAGGGCTTTGAGAGAGCCAACGAGTCATCCCGTCGCTAGCAAAGCTTCCAGGTTTCCAGCAAGACCCTGAAATCGTACAACCCTGCAGAACCCGATCCTAGACCCTAAACCCTAATTCACCCTAAATAAACCCTAAATAAACCCTAAATAAACCCTAAACCCGAAAGCCACATAAGCCCTGAGGCCCCAAAGCCACTCAGTCCCTAAATGCCTTGCGAATGTCAAAAAATCACTAAAAAAAACCTTATAGACCCTATTTTCGGGTTTAGGATTTATTTTGGGGTTTATTTAGAGCTTAGGGTGTAGGGTGTAGGGTTTAGCCGTAAACCCTGAACCCCAGGTGCGCGAAAAGGTGGGCCTTTCGACCTGAAGCCCGCAACCTTAGATCCAGAGGCAAATGCCCTGAACCAATTTCTAGGGGTTTAGGGGTTTAGGGGTTTAGGGTTTTGAACTTTGGGGTTTAGTTTAGGGTTTTACCCTAGACCTTAAACCCCAAACACGAGGCAAGCAGAACTAAAAGGTTGCAGTGGAGACCACTAAGGATGGGCTTTTGTTCCGGCTTCGCCCTGAAGAAGGCAGGGCCCAAGAAGCAGATGTGGCTGTAGTTGTAATGTTTTGTATCCCCAGATTTCTTCTCAGGGTTCCAAATGAAAAATCGAAATCCGAAGGTCCTATGACTTAAATACTTAAAGGAAGCTTATGGCATTCGGGATTTGGAGCTTCGGGGTGTCGGGTTCCGGGCTCGGGGCTTGGGATTTAGGCTAAACCAGGCTTTGTTAAGGTTCCATGTAAGGGTTGAGGCTTAAGGTTGAGGGCTTTAGCCAAATTGAATTAAGTAATGCGTTTAGGGCATGCGGCGGAGGGTGCAGTGCTCGAGGCCCTTGAGGCGAAGATTTTCATAGACGCAAATCTACCATGGAAGGCTCGATATAAAGTGAGACTAGAGCGTGGCCTTCCATTTTTTCTTATGGTGCAGCGAGCTAATTGAGGCCTGATAAACCCTATAATTCTTGACCCTCACCCCGAAATCCTAAGCCTCACAGAGACCCCAAAACCCCCAGTTTCAAACCCTAAACCGCTATAAACCCTAAATCCCCTACACAACCCTATTCTAACCCTAAACCCTAAACCCTAAACCCCTAAACCCTAAACCCTAAACTACGTAGCTGTGACACCCTCTACCCGAGTAGGTCGGGCGAGTTGCGGCCGGCCTCTTCGGAGCCCTCTTCGTCTTGGAGCAGGCGGCTTCTTGAGGAATCCCTTTAGGGTAGTAAGAGGGTTTAGGGTTTAAGAGTATACATAGTAATTCGGGCATTCAGGGTTATACAGTTAGGCTTAGCGTGTTTTCGGGCTGCAGGACGTAGGGGGTGTAGCTCTGCAAAAGCACTTCTATACTGTGGCGTTCGGGTGTTTACACCATGGCTCCTCAGAGCCTTTGGGTGTGAGGCCGTAGTTTAGGGCATGGGGAAGCCCAATCTTTTAGGAAGGGCATTCGGTGGTGTGCAGAAAGAAAAGAAAACTTGGCAGCCATACAGACGTTCTCTGTAGCCGTATCTGTTAGAGTATATTTGTGTTTTGTAGAAACCTCACAGCAACAGAAACACTTATGTAGGAGCCCAGAAAACCGAGACATACGAACCGTTAAGACCCAGAGAAAGCCCAGCCGCACTTCGTGTGCTCCATTCTCATATCCACTGTGACAACGCATTCTCACACGAAGCACCACCACGCAAGTCAGTTCATAGCTATAAAAAGCAATGGAGTGTGAAATGTGTCGAAGACTCCGCCAATGCTTGTGTTCCTGGCAGGCCCTAGCTTACCAGGGCTACATCACCGTGCTCGCCGGCAGCAAGCATTGCCGAACCCTAAACCCTAAACCCTAAACCGATTTAAAGGCTAGTGTCCTGCACCTCAAACCCCAAGTTTTGAAAGCAATGAGAGCGCCACAAGCCATAAACCCATGAATGCTAAACAAGTAAGGTTTTAAACAGCTAGAGGGTTTGACTCACCTTTGGAGTCTCAACAGTTTAGAGTAATCGTACCAATAAGAACTATTATCCATGTGCTTCTTTGTTAGTACTACTTTCACCACCATCATCATCATCATCATTATTAGTACTTTGACTATAGCAACAACTTTATTATTGTTTATATGGTTCGAAAGTGTTCTGATTTGGGAGTTCTGCTTGCCTTGCTTCTTGTTGGCACCGTGTCTCATGGCCGTTCCATCTTTGCGGGTCGGGGTTGAGGCTTATATGGCTGTCCGGAATGGTCCAGGTACCCATGTAGTCTAGGGCCAAAGTATATGCCTAATGGGTACATGGGTAGTTCTCTAAATCAGGCTACATTTTAGAGTCCTTATTATAAGGGTGCTGTACTATGTTGGGGGCCTAGAAGGGGACCGTAATTTAGGGAATTACCCACATGGACCCGTTGGGTTTTCGTTGAGGAACTCAGATTGAGTTACCAGAACAACAAGGAAGCCACATGATCTATGACGCTTCCTTTTTATGGCGGCTCACATTAAGTTCCTGAACAAGAAATCAGTTGAAGCTTTTGGGCTTGGAAGCTAGAGCACAGGGTTTTACATGGCTTGGGGGGGGGGGGGGGGGGTGGTCTACCTAGAGCATCGTGCTGTACCCCGTTTCTGGAGCTACTGCAGTTGAAGACTTGCATAAAATGTGGGTCGTATTGATGGGCAGTACCGTTCTCCATAGCAGGGAGTCCACAATTTTCGTAGTTTTCTGCGAAGCACACATGCCGTAGACCCTGAGCATGAACATATGAGCAAATGATTGCAGAAATGTAGGTAAATGTCGGAGAATCCAACCCTCAGTGGCATGGATGACGACGATGATGATGTTGATGAGGGCGACGCAGAGAAGAAGGCGAGCATGATGATGCGTGCGATGATGAAGAATGACCCTTAAACCTATAAAGACCCTACGTCGTTTCTAAGCAAGTTTGTTGCGGTGGTGCTGATGACACCGGTGCAAACGAAAACTACAAGGTAGCACGAGTAGCCAGACAAAAAAAGACTACAACCGCAAGCAATCTACTTCCCCCGCCGTGATCCGAGTAGACGTTCACCTGGACGACCTAAAAATAACGTCTAAGTCTGCAGCCAAGGAATTGGGAAAAAGCCGAGCCTGTGCCCCAGACCTTGACCTTGACCTC